ATGAGTAGCAGGAGCAGTATCAAAATTAAGGAGAGTTGGGTCATCAAAATCTAGAAAACAGAAGTTACACTCTTGTTCATCTCCCTGGGCTATTTCCAGAATTCTATATTCTAATCTCATATTGGCTTACTTGTTCTTTTGAACAATAAAAGTCTGGAACTTCTCTTTAGTCTTTTCTTTTACTCTGCTTACTAATTTTTCGAGCCTGTGTAATCTGTTTTCTTTTTGTTGTTTTGGTAAAGCTGGTGATTCTTTGCTTTCTAAATAATCTCTTCAATTTATTTCTTGATCTTTAGCCAACAAATTATTTTCCAATAAATCTATTTGGTCTTGAAGTTTGCCCATTGCAGCATCATGTTTCAACAAAGCTTCAAACATTTGTCATTTTCTCCATTCCATGGCTTTATTTAGTGCTTTTTCAGCCTCTTCTCGCTCCATTCATACTTCATCATCTAGTTCATCTACTTTTTTTAATTTTCAATTCTTTTTCGTTCAACTTCTTTTCATACTCTTCTTTTTGTTGATTCAATTGATTACTTAAATTGCTTATTCTTGAATAACTTCCAGCATAACTATCACCTAAATCATTTGAGTAATCAATAAAACCATCTAACATTTCTTCAATGGTGATATTGTCAAATCAAATTCTTTTGCAATTCTTTGCTCATTCTCTAGTCTCATTAGGATCTACTGCCATTCTTAGTTTGCCATCATCCATTCACTTTTTGTTCAGCTTTTTATATCATCATGTTCCCCTAGGAGCATACATACTAACTTCATTTTTATCAATAGACTGACCAGTAACATGTCAGATTTTTAATTTGAGTTCTTCTATTTCTTCTTCTCTTTTTTTATTAATATTATTGATTTCTTCTAATAGTTGTTTATTTCTCTCTTGGAATTCATTTATTGTGTTTACCATGTTTGTTCTTTTTTTTATATATTCTTTTAATATACTTATATCCTTTTTATAAGGGTGTATTAAGTATATAAATTATTTTAGTACTTTTTTATTTTAAAGCTAACAATATTTGTCAAAGATTAAACTTATTAAATTTAATGACAGTGAGGGGACAAATTAACAAGTGTGATAAAGTAATGAAGGTGTTTTTGTTCTAAATATTTTATTTGTTGCCAGTATAGAATGGTCTTGGACAAGTAATATCTTTGTATTCATCTTTCACAAATGGGCGAATATTATGATAAAGATACTCTTGTCTTTTGTGATCCAAAGGAGGTGGTGTTAACACTAAAATAAATAAAGCTTTAATCTCTTCAAAAATATCTGATTTCTTGGTTTTCAATAAATTGAATTCAGCAAAAGGTCCATTAGCAATTTCCTGAGCTTTTACCATACCAAGATTAGTTGCTTCAAAAAGAAAATGTTGATATTTCTGTATATAAATGTGAAGAAAAGAAACGCTTCTGACCTGGCATAGAGTAACCAATATTTAAGCTAGCCTTTTCTTTTAACTGTCATTAAAAGTTCCAGTCTGACTCTAAAAATTTTATTTTGGTTGAAAATTGCTTACTACATGAAAAATGGAGATTTTTTTTTTTGAAGTGGATGATAATAATTTTTTTTGTGTAACGTTTATATTGAATGACACTTGATCTGCAATGTCCTGTGACTAAGGATAAATAACTAGTGTGTACGTGTTGATCAAAATCACAAACTTCTTTTTAAAAAAATATAAACATGCCTAAAAAAAATGTTAAACAAAGAAGCAGAGAGGAGGATGCTATAGAAGTGAAAAGGTAAGTGTTTTAAGAATGGTGGTAGTTGCAACTTGTTTCTTTTATATTTTAATTTATTAAAATGCCATGTATTAATAAAATTATTGATAATAAAAGAAGAAAAAACATTGATGCTGCAGAAGCAGTTGTTGGGTAAGTGTTTTAAGGATGGTGGTGGCAGTTGTCTCCACTTGTCATTACTCTAGTTCAATGGTTAAAATTTTGTTTATCTATTTCTTAAGGAAGCTGACAAAGAAAATCCAAAATGTAGGCAAGAGTGTATATTTAATTAGTAAATTATATTTATTCTAATTATTAGAATTTTTTTATCTCTATAATAATAATCAAAATGTATTTTCAGTGAAGTCTATCAATCCATCATCACAAACCAGGGTTGGCAAATGTGTGGTCCATTGATGGTCTATTGGTGGTCCATTGGGTCCATTAATGTAACACTTTAACCATATTTAGTATTTTATTAATGGCAATGAACCAGTCCAAAATCCATCAGTTCTCAATGGACTAGTCAATTTGCCAACTCTGTCACAAACTAGCATATCAATTCAGCAATTTTACTATAAAGAGTTAATTAAACTGGTAAACTATTATTTTCAAAGTATCTATTTATTGTTAAATCATGTTAATCAGATAAATAAAATTATCATAAATTTTTAAATAATTTAGGACACCTTTTATAATGATTCAAACACTTTGAATAATAAATACTCAATAGTTTCAAATTGTTTGGACAACATTTTGATATTAAGAAATTTGCTTATGACATGCCAGCCCTATCATACATTCTGGATTTCCATGATCCAGAAGCACTGCTATACGAATTTTATAACAATCATTTTGAGGACAATATTGAGTCTTTACAAAAAATTGACCAAAATCAATTATTTATCAAAAACAAGCAGATGGAGGCATTTATTGATAAAAGCATCAATGAGGAGTTTTTAATTAATATCCCAGAAGACACTGGTGGAATTGACAAGTCTTATTTTTTCATAGTAGGCAGGATTATTGAAAATCTGTAAATTAATTTTCTTTAGTTATTAATTATAGATGCTGGTCACAATTTCTGATGGTGGTTTATGACATCTAGTTGCAATGACCTTTGCAACTACTTTGCTTCCTTTTTTGGATTGCAGCATGGAACACTAATATTTATAATTTTTTTTTAATATTTGCAGTCAAATCTTAAATCAGAAGATGAAAAACAGATCAACAGCAATAATAGATGAGGGTTCATGGACTATGGTGACAATTGATTCTTTCATTTATGACATGTATAAATTTTTTGATAACAATTTGGAAGTCAGCTGGTATGATAAATATCAATTAATTTGTATTGAAATTGTGTTTTTACAGAGAAATTAACAATTTTTATATAGGGGTCAGAAAATTAACCCTACAACCAGATGTTCAAAAAACAAAGATAGTTATGACTATACATGAGGTCGAAATTAAAACCCCAAAGTCAAAATGTTTCAACTTGAGGAAACTACATAGTAAAAATCAGTTTCAACCTTATATCAACCCTATTTTGACCAGATCTGCAAATGGTCAAAATAGTTTCGACTTTGTGTATAGTTATGACTCTCTGATTATTAATTCATATAAAAGTAAAGAAGAAAAAGAAAAAAAAAGAAAAAGTTACAGGAAAAAAACCTGATGTCTCTATTTATTGGAGAAATGACCAAGATGAAACAAGCATTGCTTTAGTCAAAGCAAGTTTAGGCCCATTTGAAGATCCTGACATTGTAAAATTTGAGGGAGACAGACATAAATTAATCCAGTGTATTAAAAGTTCATCACAAAAATTATGGAATGATTTAGCAACAAAAGGTAATAGATATATTCAAGAATCAAACTTCATAGAAATAAAAGCAATGTTGAGACCAATAATACAATTAAATGGTGATGATTTTATTCTATAAAATTTTAATTAATATATACATATATGGTTAATATATTACTTACATGCAATTTTATTATTAGGTACATCTATTACTTTTCTCTACTATGATGAAGCTTTTTTTCCAATTGGGAGGGTACATCTTCACTCTGAAATTCAGATCCCATATAATTCTTTGGAGCCAGATAATATAAAAGCATTTGTATATGAATTGCTATCAGTTTACAAAACCATCACTAATTACAGCATATGTCTAAAATTGTTTTGAGATGAAACAAATCTGAAGGAAAAAGATTCACTCCAATTTCTAACTTAACTAATAATTATCCATCAAGGATATTAGCACCTAAAAAACAAAAAAAATAGCTTCTAATTATCACTTTTATTGACACAATTATTATTTTAATCAAAAAATATCTAATCTATGTTAATTGCATTTTAAAATTGATATTGTTAAATAAATAAACCAATATTTCTATTGTTCTATCATGTGGATGACTTCCCACATTTTATATTATTACTAAAAATTAAAATAAATTTATTTTTGGTTTTTTTTCTACTAATTGATGTAATGGTAACAAATAAATAAGCAGGTAATTTAATATAAAGAAAGATTCAAAAGAAATTTTGCACATTAATGTAAATATATTTAACAGAAGACTTTTCTTTCTTTTTTCTCTCCCAATTAATTAATATACCTACTACCATTGGGAAATCAAAAATGAAACATTTTATTATTTGTAGTTGATAAATAATCCCAATTCATAAGTTTACATTACTAGTTAGAGAATTTGATTATGTATATATATTTGGAAGCATCATTACTAGAACTTGATGTTTTACTACTAAAGTGCAAAACATCTTTGGATTAAAAATCATGTGATAATTAGTACAAATAATCATTAAAAACCATTTATCATTTTTTTAAAATTAATAAGATCTTACATTTACAAGAGTCGGAACTATCTGTTAATATAGTTTCTATGTCAAATTTGTTATTTTGTATCTTAAAAATAATTTTAGTCATCATTAATAATGTTGCTGGACTATTTTATGTGGGAGTGCATATATAGTAGGTGGCAAACAAAATGGTTTTTGTATATTTCAGAATGAAGTGAAGAATATGCTAGCAAAGAGCTTTGGGTCAATTGATTGAACAGATGAAGTTATTTTTGTAAGGTTGAAACCTTTAAAATATTCTTTATTTACTACTAAAAAATTTAAAGAAAAAATTCTTCAAAACCAAACTCAAGTCTTATCCGAATTCCATGAAAATTGGTTGCTATATACATGTTAATTAATTAGTGGACGAATTTTCATCACTGGTCAGTTTTTCATCTAGAGTTTTGTCTTTGGATGATCTCTCACCCCACTACACAAACTACACTATTATAACTATTAACTAACATGCTACTATACTATTCCCATATATATAATGTATGAATACTAATAATATAATACAGTGCAATAATATAAAATAAAATAATATAGATGTATAACGCATAATGCATATTTTGCAAAAGTTAACATCATTTATATATACTTTTCAAAAAAAAAGACTAATTAACACAAATAAAAAATTTGTGTAATTTTCTTTTTGCAGTTCTTTCTGTATTTTAATCAGATCTGTGATTTTTTCTTATTTTGGCAATTTTAGAGTCATACAACAATGGTTTCGTTACTTATAATTGTAGCAAGAGAGAAGGAGAGCATAGTTCCTTATATAATGTTTTTTATAAATTTGTGATCTGTTTTCTTTTCTTAATATTTATTATTTTTCTTTCCTCTTGGTAAATTTCCTTTTTTTTTTTTTTAGATAAGCTTCCAGTGTCTGAGTATCATTTATTTTGAAAATGTAAAGAGTGATTTTCTCACCTTGTTCCTTCTTTAGAATACTTCTAATGGTGCTGTAATTTTTGAGTTCCATAGTAGACCTAATGTAAATTAACTTCATATTAACTATTTTTATATAGAGGCAATTCTATATATCAAGGGGATAACAAATGGAAGATTTTAATAATCACATCACTAAATTTTGATCCCTGAAATCTTTGGTAATATCAATGTTCACTTTGTCTGGTTTTGTTACAGCATGCCCTATATATAGTTGTCTAATTTATTTTCTTGATTTCTGATTTACTGAAATTAAATAACAATAAAGTCTGCAAGAAAGAGATTGAGAGTTAGTAGGACCCCGGAAACTACATAGATAGGTTACCCTAAAATTTTCAAAATTTACTAATGAGTTTACCCAATATTTTTTAT